TCTCACTACTGATTATATCAGAATATTCTTCACTGACACTGCCGTCCTTTTTAGAATTTCTTGCCTGTGTTAATAAGTAAAGTAAGGGAAAAAAAAATAAAAGCATAAAAAAATATTTGGAAATCAATAGCTGTATCTCTGATGACCACATAAACTTGTCTGAAGACACAGAAGTTCAGGTTCCTTCTTGTGATTTATCAAAATATTTACTGAACCATTGGCTGCTGGAGAACTAGTATCTGCACTCCTATATACACGTTCTATATATATATATATATATATATATATATAACAAAACGAAAAGCAACATAAGAGGCACATAAATGCTGTCGAGATGAAGCCATTATCAGACATCAGTTAATGTACACGAACAAAGAACTCCGTTATGAAAGAACTCCATTTGACTCCGACTACTCCACCTTTCTCTGTATACTGGTCACCCTCTACCTCTTTCATATCTTGGCAGACGAACGTCTCTAGATCTATTCGCCTGATATATAGTAAATTGCTCAGTTTAGCAAAGGGAAGTAAAGAAAGGAGGAGGAGTACTTGAAGTTGAATGAGGTATGATCGTAACTGCTGCTGCAATATTAGTCCCAACCAAACGCCAGACATGAAAGCATAGCGAAAAAGAATACGATGAGATATTTGTAAATTACTGGTATAGGAAACAGGAAACCTTAGATTAAGTCTACAGACTTTTTTTTTTCTAAGTGCCTACTTTAAACGGTTATTTACATCAGCAAATTTTTCTCCCGATGTAAGTAATGAGGAAAAGTATTTAATTCATTTAGTAAATTCCAATATTTCAGCCAGTCTGCTTCGTCAGATGATAGTTATTAAATATGCTCTCGAAATAAAATATATATGTATAATTTTTACAAGTGTTGATAAACTGTTTTCGAATCAAGGTTCATTCATAAATTCATTGATAAAAAGAGATCGGGTTACTCTACGAATTATGAATGAGCCGATTTCCAAGAACTGCAGGAAGTAAATATAAAAAGAACCGAAAGAAAGAAAGAAGTAATGAATAAACTAAAAATTAAGTAAACAAGATAATCCACCCTTTGGAAATGCTTCGTTGAGGAATATGTAAATGATAGTGTGGAATAGTAGAGTGAAATTAGTTGACAGTATAATTAAGTAAGCTGCGGGCGTTGCATGCTTTACTATTCTACGTTAAATTTGTGGCAAGTGTGTTTTTGTCTGGAGGTCACCAGTGTGATTAGGTAGTGTTGGTAGGATTTTGTTTGGAAACTTTGGAATAAAACGAACTGACTCAATGGTATAAAACCAATATATTTTCATTTTCTTTAGAGTGATGAGCGAGTCCTTTCGTATTCGATGTAGTAAAAAGTACGTTAATTAGGGGGATAGTGGCAGCAGTCTGGAGAAATGTTTTTTAGTAGTAATTTTGTAGTCAGACAATGATAGGGGTAGTATTAATATTAGAAATAGGTCAGTGTCAATGTACTGTGTTTTTTCAGCTCTAAGCAGGGTAGAAATATCATTAGCAAATGACCTCTTAACTACTTCTTCATGCGTCACGCATGGCTTTTTTGTTCTGTCCTCTCTTGCTGTCCTCCTCTGCTTCTAGCTCAGAGGTGTCAGCTTTTATCCTTTTTGACCAGGCTCCGAGACTGGCGCAAAAATTGGTTTCGGTTAGCATCAAAGTTTCTTTGTGTCAAATTTTTTGATTGGCTAAAATTATTTTATGTTCCGGCGTTCCTTCCTTTATTTTTATAAGAGAAGGAGACTCCCTGATCTTTGATATTTTTCAGTCACAAATAAGTAGGCTCTGATCCTGCACACTTCCGGCGTTTTTCGGCTAGGTTGATTTTGTTTATTTTTATTTGGGGTTGCCTTCTCGTTAGTTGAGAGAACTATAGAAAGAAGTCCAATGAGAGAAAGAAATAGGTAAGTTTTTTCGATGAAAGCTCAAATGTCTTATTTTAATTTGAACTCTATTTATTTTTGTTTATATATTTTATTTTCACTTATTCCACCCGTACTCACTGGAGACAAAAATGGTTCCATAGAGGGGAACTTGCTAAGACATCTTTGAGAAAGAGTAGAGAAAAAAGAAAAAACAAAAAGACGACACTTTGCATCCTTTTTTTTGTATAGCTTTGACAACGACATCTAGTAGCCGTTTGCAGACAAGCGAAATCTCAGCAAGCCCCGTATTTCTCTATTGGTACCAGAGCCAGGATTTCGAATGTTGGTTTTCTACGCATATACGATTGAAAGACATTCTTGCTGAATTGTTTGGTCTAATATAATCTTCCCGGTATTAATCCTGTATGTTGTACTAATCTCGTCAATCCTCATCTTGTATCTTGATTTTTCTCTCCCCAGTAACGTTTTCTCAGTTTCCTTTACTTTTAGTAACACGGCTTACGGCCATATCACGTTGAAACATCGGTTCCCGTACGATCACCGAAGTTAAACAACATCGAGCCTGGTCCGTACGTTGGTAGGTAACCCCTTGAGAATAACAACATGAGTATGCTTAGATGTGCGGGTTTAGTAATGTATAACGGCTCGGAATTGTTAATTGGAGTTGCAATTCATGTTAGGTTCATTATATTCGCTTAGGAAAAATATGACTCCACCTCTTCTCTCTCCAGCTATGGATTAATTAGTAAGATTTCTATCACTAAAACATTATCTCAAACAAAAAATTCTAACAATATAAAAATATTTTCTGGCTTTAAATAACCTGCAAATGGTTGATAAGCCGTAGAAAACTAATCAGTCCAATCTCAGAAACTCCCGTCTTTGTGGCTTTAGTCATGTTTGGGGTGAAAACACACACAAAAATGCTTCCTAATCTCAAGATAACGAAACCAAAATCTATCAAGTAAGTGTATCGACAATGTGAAAATAAACGAGACATGAAATTCGACGGTAAAAAAAAAAGAAAAAAAGAAAGAACCCCCCCCAAAAAAAAAACAACTTAATTTGATAATGTTTGATATATTTGCTCAGAAAAAAATAATATATATATATATATATATATATATATATATATATATATATATATATATATATATATATATACTACACACATGAAACGTAAAATTTTTTACTTTGTAAAAAACTGATAGATTTTCAGAAATGTGTCTTCAGTTGATAAAGTATGTATTTAACTAAGAATAATCATTTTAAAGGGAATTTTAAAAATTAGATTAGCATATAATTCTCTTACTAAAACTGGACTTTAATTAAATATAGAACAATTGATGACGTCATCGATTAAATATGAGAGCATGGTAAAAGTTCTCGGCCTGATTAAGGAGATTGGTATGATTTTGGAAATTTAACATCCTAACCCCCTACACACAGTTTGGATGTCTAGACAAACAGATTCTAAGATTGAATAAATCTAAAGCGTTGGGTTTTGAGACTCTTCTCTGTATATATTTTCCTATTAGAATCATTTTTTTTTAACTATGAAAGTGAATCATTGACGTAGAGGGAGATAACAAGACATACATTACATGCGTATTACAATTATGATATAGCGTTATATTTCGTGGTTAAATCGTAAATCAAAAGCAAATAGGAGGTGATCTTCATTTCCGCTATTTACTAAACTATGTCTGGAAAACGGTAACAAGTTCAGGTTATTTAACAAGAATTGAACGTGCTGTTACTTGCTATATTAATTAAATGGATCGGCAGACACCTCAAATGTCTTCATTTTCAGCCTAAAGATAGACAGGAATACATACAAAGCAGAGATATCATATAATCATCGATTTCATTTGATAAGCATTCGTAAAAGCGGTTATTATTATAATTAATAATAATAATTATTATAATCATCATCATCATTATAATTATCATCATCAATTGCAATTATCATCATTATAATTATACAATAATTACCATAATTATAAATATCAATTATAATTATCATCATCATAATTATACAATAATTATCATAATTATAAATATCAATTATAATTATCATAATTATAAATATCAATTATAATTATCATCATCATAATTATAAATATAATTATCATCAATTATAATTATCAATTATAATTATCATCATCATCATAATTATAAATATCATCATCAATTATAATTATTATCATCATCATAATTATAATCATCATTATTTGATGTTTCCTTTAGATTAGTAATTCTGAACAGATTTCTCCCCCTCTCATCTCAGCATCGTTTTTTTTTTTCGATATTTTTTTACTCAGAAGATTCTTTGACTAAAAATTTTCATTGTCCAGGGTGGTCCGAAAGGTTTGTCATCCGCTACCAAAAAGTAATGAGAACAATAGAAGAACAAGTAATACAAAACACATGTACTGGATTCAGTTTATTTCCTTTCATTGACGCACATCGAAAGGTTCTGTATGAACACCTTCATTTTCGTGCTACAAAATGATTCGGCGCCATGTCCTATGTGATATTTTACAAAGCTGTGCTCTGTTAATTGCTCTCCGAACGGTATCCTTCAACTGATAGGTATTCTTACATCGTTCATCTGAAACTCTCTCTCTTGGATAATACCCTCATAGATGAAATAGAAAATTATATCATATGCAGGTGACAAGACTTTAGGACCACTCTGTAGTTTGCAGAAAGGTAACTAATCCAACAGTTAACCTATTCTTTGGTGATTCCCACCCCCGCCACTAAAAGCCTAAGATCCGGCCCTGGTCGATAATTTTCTCGTCGAGAACGACCGTTCTATTTTGTTATTCCAAACAAAATATATTGATTCGACATTCTGAAAACACACTAGTTGTAAACTATAGAGCAGTATCGACAGAGTAGAAATGTACACTTCACTTGAAGAAACCTTAAAGACATAAATGGCGGAAAAGTTGTACTTTCTGGGAAAAAATAAAATAAAATAAAAAAAATACAGTTCCTATTCAAGATAAGAAACTTTCTTTCCACTACAGTTGGTGCCGACGGGAGAATCCCATGAGGAATTATTTGTAGAAGATTTTTTGAATTATGACAATATTGTAACGAATAATCCAAATGAATGTCAGACTGTTTTTCCTAATATTAATCCATTTGAATCGAAACCAAGAATTTCATCTGCTTAACATTAGGGTTCCATCGATCGATTCCTTTTCTACGGCTCATAAACGCTTTGCAAGTTATTTAAAGTCAGAAAACATTTGTAAGATATATTTTTGGGAGATAATGATTTCGTGATACAAGTCTTGCTAATTAACCCATAGCTGGGGGAGAAGAGGTAGATTCATGCCTTTCCCTAGGGTATTTGCAAGTAAGTGAATATAACGAACCCAACTGGAATTGAAACTCTTCTCTTTGATTAACTATGCCAAGCCATTATCTGTTACACCACCCGCACATCCAAGCTTACTCAAGTTGTTTTTCTAGAGGGGTCACATATCTAGGTACGGACCAAGCTCGATGTTGCTTATCTTCAGCAAATTAGGGTTCCTGTTCATTATATTTTTCTTATTTATCGTTCATGCAGATACATATGTATGATGTTTCATCCAGCGATTTTGAATTAGCGAAAAAGTAACCTACCTAGAGCAATAAAATCTTAGTCCTGTTTAAAATATTCTTTCTGGAACATCAGACGCTTATCCTAGTGTTAAATACACTTTACAGAAAAGTACTTAAAGTTGCCCCTAAGAATTGCCACCATCTGCCTCACCGCGATCGCCCTAATCTCATCCACGGTTTTAAATCTTTTTCCAGAAGGATTTCAGTTTTGGGAAAAGCTAAAAGTTGCAGTGAGATAAATCTAGACAAATTAAGTGATGCTTCCCCAAGAGAAGCTACACGAGACGCGACGATTGGGAAGGGGCAAGATATGTAGGATGGCAGGTACTTTCCGAAATTATGATAGAATCGCCAGATCCGAATCCTGCACATTGCCCGTTTTCTTTGATTGCAACCGGCACGCGCGCAAAGTTTTCGTCCTCTGCATGTCAAAGGCTTATTAGAACGTGAAGATATTCACTAATCGTCCCACCCAGTCGGATGTGGCACAAAACCGAGTTTATTGTGGGGTTCCGAGTCCGTAGGCTCGGCCAAAAATTTCCTGGAGAACCTTAAAAAACGGGGTCGCGTAGATGTCTACCACCCCAGACGAGAGACTGCCCTTCGGCGTAGCCTCGTCTGGGTTCCTTTCTGTCCGGAGGCAGAGAGTTTGACAAGCACACTGTGGAAGACCGCAGAACGTGAATCAGTTTCAAAATTGGCATCAATATTTTATCTGATCTTAACACTTTGAATTATCCTTCTTAATCATTTCAATATTTTTCAGCAGAGGAATGTTAAGTTTTGGAGCAAAACTTGATTCACTGTCAACGTTAAAGTCAAATCTTATACAATCTTACTTAATGGCATCTAACTATCGACGAATTACCGCTAAGTAGCGTCCCTGTCTATGAATACGCAGTCAAGTCCCTTCTGTTTGAATATCAGTTACAAGGCCACACAACCGGTTTTCGAGATTTTCAAAACGGCTGGAATTTTTTTTTTTTTTTTTTTTTTTGTGTGTGTGTGTGTGTGTGTACAGACGGGATCTTTCATGTGCATTTCAAACTTACACCTGCCATGCAACGATGCATATGCGCATTTAAACACGCATATCTCTCCCATGCCAAGTCGACATTACTTTAACGATTTAAAGACATCCAATAGCCACTCTACTGCGCCCATCAGATATGGTTATATCTACGTATAGCGCGTTTATGAATAATTATGGAGATACTTACACGAGAAACGTGTTGACCTAGAAGTAGGTATCGGCTTTCGGAACTTATTCAGATGTCAAAAGCGACGGGTAATGTTTAAGAACCAGTCTAAGGAAGGGCAGGTATATCAAAATCCCCCACACCCAAACTGAATGTGCAATGAGAATTTAAATAAACCTCGAAAAAGAAACCCAATATGGAATCAGAGAAAAGTCATGATATTTTCTTTTGAAAAAGCCAAGGGATTCACTATATCTTATTTGTAATGGTAGAATTAACCGTTTCCTTATAAGCAAACAGCAGCAGTCATTAGTCGAGCAGCCAGTGCTACTTTCCGTTGAAATTTATAAAATCTTTTACTTAAAACAATTTTTCGGAAAAATAAATTTCTCAAGTCCAGTAGCTGATATTGCTCTTTCCAGTGCTGGTAGAAGTTTCCTTCCGAACCTTTTGTTCGAAGTTGTGTAGAATATCAATATTTTGCTTATATCATCTCTACGAATTACAAGTGCTATCCATTTTAATTGTTGCTTAAGTGATGAGGTTTCTGTTATTTGTTACAGTTCTGTAGTGAACTACCGCAGAGGGTAAAGAGGCCAAGGGTTGCATATATTTTTTGCAACGCTAGAATGAAATAACTTACCTTCAGCGTGAGCAAAGATTCGAACGTGCCACGCGTGTAAACTGCCCAAAGAAGAAAGAAATGGCGGCTTTGCGGGTTACACATTTAAAATAGCTAGATCCCGGAGTAAGATACTCGCAAGAGAGTTTATCT